TTGAAAATATATTTTATAAAATACATTGTACCAAATAATATATACTCTTGTGGAATATTGTCAAGAGTTTGGAAAGACAATAAACTTGAGAGTTGCTTTGAATTTATACTTGATTCCATTAGAGTTAATCAAATCAATCTTTGCTCGTTCCCCCTAATGATTTTCTAAGAGTCGAAGTAATTAACGATTGAACTGAAGTCCAGGGGCTAATGGAGGTCACGGCACTGGTCTTTTGAATTACGCTACAGTCACTGTATACATATATATGTTTTGTATACATATAAATAATATAGCAAACTTCGCACTTGATAATTAGTTTTAAAAAAGTAGCTTTCAAAAGTAAAAAAAGTAGTAGAAAAGTAGCTATCGAAAAATTAAACTTGATGACCAAAAAACTCATTTTAGAATTTAGATACTTTACAAAACTGACAAAAATTCCATTCTATATTTTATTCCTGATTTTAATTTAAATAATATAATTCCTGAGACATTTTTATTATTCATGAAAAGAATTGAATTTTTACGAAGAGTTTTACAAAATTTTTTCTAAATAATTGAATTATGTTTGGAAATTTTATGAAAATAGTAGATATTGAAAAACATTAAATTGCAAAAAAATTTTTTAAAAAAATTAAATTTTACAAAAAATTCTACTAAAATTTTTGACAATAATTGAATTTTTGTGTGGTATTTTATTAAAATTTTTCAAAAATACTTGAATTCCTAAAAAGAATTTTATTATTTATATGAAAATAATTGAATTCTTGCGAACGATTTTATTAGAATTTTTAAAAATAATTGAATTTCCAAGAAGAAATTTATTAATTTTAAAAATAATTGAATTCTTGTGATGAATATTGTTATTTGTGAAAATAATTGAATTTTGCAAAGAATTTTATTAAAATGCCTCAAAAATAATTGAATTCCTGAGAAGTTTATTGCTTATGAAAATAATTGAATTAGTGCCCGAAAAATTTTATTAAAATGTTTAAAAAGAATTGAATTTTAGTGAAAAATTTTGTTAATTGTGAAAATAATTGAATTTGGAAAGAATTTTATTGAAATTCCTCAAAATAATTGAATTTTCAGGAAAAATTTTGTTATTTATCTTTAATTATTGAATTCTCTCGAAGAATTAAATTCGTAAATAATTGAATTCTTGGGAGAAATTTTATTAAAACCTCAAAGAATAATTGAATTATTTCAAAAAAATTTAATTAAAATTGTATTTAAAATAATATTGATTTCTTTCGAACAATTTTATTAAAAATATTTGAAAATAATTGAATTCTTGTGAAAAATTCGAATATTTTTGTAAATAATCATTGAATTCTTTCAAAGAATTTAAAAAACATTTTTTTAAATAATTAATTTTTTCGAAGAATTGAAATTAAATTTTTAAGAATAATTACATTTTTTTGTGCAATTCCTGTAAAATTGTATTAAAAATAATTGAATTTCTGTGACAAATTTTGTTAATTTTGAAAATAATTGAATTCTTCATAAGAATTTTATAAACATTGCTTTACATAATTAATTTTTTCGAAATATAATAAATAATATGAAAATTTTTTTTTAATAATTGAATTCTTGTGGAAAACATTATTTGTGAAAATAATTGAATTTTCGATGAAATTTATCAATTTTTTTTTAATTAATTGAATTCTTTTGCGAAACTTCATGAAAATACTATAGATATTAAAAATAATTGAATTTCAAATATATTTTTTGAAAATAATTGAATAGTTTTAAAGAATTTGATAATAATTTTTGAGAATAGTTTTTTGATTTCGTCAGAGATAGTTTTCGAGGGGGCAAACGATAATTTTTATATATAGAAGAGGAGGGGGGGGGATAAAAATTATATTGCATTTTACATTTTAAAAAAGGGGGTAAAGATTTGAAAATTATATTAAATTTTACCTAGAATAGAAGGAGGGGGGACACCAATTAAAAATTTATTTTACATTCTACATAGAAGATATAAGGAGGGGGGAATGGGGCACAAAGAGCGAGGGAGTGAGAGGTGCATGTAACCTTATAATAATTAGTAGATATATTCATGAGCACTAGGCGTGTAGTGTAACGTCCACACAATGCAGGTACAGGTGTATGCCCGAGGCGTATAAACTATATCTTAACCGCGCACAGTTTCTTACCTTGTGTCTTGTCTTTAAGTATATACACAGAGAGAGAGTGAGTGAGTGAGCGAGAGAGAGGAATAGGGACTTCACCCTCGAGATTCCTTTCCGCGTAGAGAGCGTTCTTCGTGATCGCATTCTTTCCTCGGATTCTAAAGCGGAAGCTGCCTCGAGATTTTCAAAATAATGCATTAAATAACAAGATATATAGTATAGAGGCCATGGAAAAATACCAATGCATCCTCTCTCTTCATTTTCAAATTTGTCACATATTTTCCCTCGTTTATGAAATCTTGGGCTTTACTTTTTAAACGTTTTTTTTATTATTATTACCTTATACTTTGTAGAGAGAAGTTTTTTTTATATTGGTAGTAGTTGATCTGGTTTTTTCATTCGGTCTCTTCATCTTTCTTCTGCTTTTTTGTTTTTCCCCCCTGCCCCGCTTGTTTCTCTTTCTTTTTTGACATATTTTTTCTATTCTGAAATTCTCTTTCTGTGGAGAAAATATTTTTTGAGTTTTTTTTTTAAAAAAAAGCTCCTCCGGGCGAGTAGGGACCAAAGTAGTAGCTTTCTGAGGCTTAATTAGGAATGGTTGTAGGCAGAGCGCAAGCGCCGGGAGTGGGGGCAATGAGAGCGAGAGAGATATCGCCGTTTTTCTCTTTCTCTCCTATTGCCCCCACTCCGGCGCGGCGCTTACGCTCCGCCTCCTTTGCACTATTTAATGTAATTCTTCGTTTATTGTTAGTTTTCTTCAATGAAAAACGAAAATAATAATTACTTATTATTTATTAGTAAATCAATATCACTAAATACCAATAATAAAAAAACGAAAATAGAAAATATTTATTCGAAACAGAATTAAATAAACACAAGTAAATTAATAAACAATAATAGTCATAATAAAAAAATATGTAGTAAACTAACTAAAATAAATGTAAATGAAAAATAATAAATATAAATAAATAAATAATTAATAAAAAAATGGGAAATAATTAAACAATAACAAGAAGAAAAAATAAAAAAAAAATGTTTGATATTTTTTTTCGATGAAAAATTAGTTTTTCTGAAATTTGGCATTTAATGAAGTAAACGTTATGTAAATTGGCGCCGAGCAATAGTGTCGGTTGTATTATACAAGTTTGTGCATGAACGATTATAATTCAAACATTGCATCCACGATTAAGAAGTGCATTCTTATGTAACTTAATGAAAAGTCAGCTGTTCCTGAATATTTGTTACAGTCTTCACGCTTTCCGAAGACGTTCGCGCTCTGTGAGCGTAACGCATAATACAACAATATGCGAAATGGCGATCAGCAAACGAACTTTTAACTTTGCTTCTTCAAATCTTTACTATTTGTTTACAATAAGAAAATTTCACTAGTCTCTAAATTTGAATTAGTAAAAGTGTTTACTAATTTGAATTAGTTGATGAATTTTTACTTTTGAATTAGTAAATTTTCCTAATAAATGGTAATTTCTACAAATTTATTAGTAAATTTAATTTAAAATTAATTTTAATTAGTAGTCGACTTTCTGCCTTTGAATTAGAAAATTTTCCTAATAAATATTAATTTCCACTAATTTATTAGTAAACTTCTTCATTAGTAAATTTAATTTAAATTAGCTACTGACTTTTTACCTTCGAATTAGTAAATTTTCCTAACAAATAGTAATTTTTACTAATTCAGAAGCAAAAAGTCAGCCACTAATTTAAATTCGTAAACATTTTTACAAATTAAAATTTAGAGAGTGAAGTTTAATATTTTATTCAGTCTTTGAATCAATAAAATATTTAATATATTCAAATATAATAAAAAAAATTAAGAAATAATTATTTATTGTAAAAAGTAAAATAAAATATTAACTAAATTTTTTTATTTATTAGAGGTGAATAGAGAGGTACGTTATTATTACTTCGTGAAAGTCAGGATGTCCGGTTTTGCGTATATTTTGTTGTGTAGCCAACGAGCAACAATATATTTTATAATAATAATTTTATAATTTTCCATTCTTTGATATATATTCCCCTCCTTCTCCCCCACCTCACCTTTTCCCCCCTTACTATTATCTTACATTTAATCTCTTTTCTCACCTTTTTCTTATTTAATTACTGTTTTTTAAACTCTAATACATCACTTTTTTCTCTTTCTAAAAAAAAAGTATAGATAATTTTATAATAATCGTAATTACGTACCATTGAGCGCAAAAAATTGAATTTTCTTTTTGATTTATAAATTTATGTGTGTGTCGTAATAAATTTTATGTATGATATATTATTTTACGGTATTGTGATAATTAACGCTAATTACATATTGTATTTAAAAAATAATTTCAGTTTTACATTTACGATGAATGTGTAATTAATTTTCTTTTTTGCAGCGTTTTGTAATTGTGTTTTTTTTTGAGGGGGAAGGGGATTTTTTTGGTTTTATTTTACATCAGATATTTTAAATAAGGGTAAAAAATAATAAAATTTTTTACTTTTTTTGAAGGGGGGGGGAGGGGGATTTTTTTGGTTTTATTTTACGCAAGATATTTTAAATAAGCAGAGTAACAAAAGTAAATAAAATAATTTTTACTATTTCGATAATAACGTGGAGGGGGATTTAAAAACTGTTTATTTTACACAAGATATTTTAAATAAAGAATAAAGTAAATTTTACTATTTCGATAATAAATAAAAAATTATAGTTCGAAAGTAATTAAATTTTGTTTTTTTTTAAATCGAAGAAAGTTTTTCTTTTATTTAGAGCTTAAAAATAGGATATATTTTGTGTTATAATTGTGATTGGTTAAAAAGAAAAGAAAATTTTTTTTTCTCTTTTGTCGAAATTGTAATCGCTCTCTGCATTTGTAGGTGCACCGACGTTGCCGTCATCCTGACCTGCCAGAAAAATCCTCATGAAAGACTGGGAACTCAGTACTCAAAATAGCATCGGTATTGTAGACACTTCTTTTTTCGTTTTTTTCACACACAATTTCAACTACCGATCTTTTCAAAAGAAAATTACTAAATAGACAAAACAAAAAATTATAAGACGTTCATTCTCGAATTTTCTCTTTATAAAGAAGCAATAACAGAATTTCTTTCATTAGAATAATAGTTACATTTTTTTTTTAGAAAAAATAACAGAACTTATAAGAAAATAATAACAGGATTTTTAACTTCGAAATTTTTTTTTTTAATTTAAACATTTTTTTAATCTTTTATTCTTAAATTTAATTTTTATTCTTATTTTCAACTTTTTAATTTATTTTGCAAAAATATTAATTATAAGTTTTCGAAGTAATGGAATTTATTTTCTTTTATTTAATTGTAATTATAGTGAGAGACGATTAACGTCGTTTTAGTGTGAAAATCGGCGCGCGCAGCGAGCGGCGAGTCCGAAAACTATTTTTATTTTATTTCTTCTTAATTTTCTACTAAATATTATTAATTATTGGTAAAAAATTTTATTAGTAAAATAATTATTATTATATAATAAAATATTAATTAATTTTTCAAAAAAGACTTTTTATTTAAATTTTTTTCTCTTGTAAAATTTGAGAATGACGTCACGAATTTTTTCTTTTCTAATCTGACTTTTCTCTTTCTTATTATTATTTCTATTTGACGATTGGGACAATAAATTGTAGGTATGGTGATGGTTATGGTGATGGTTGTCAACAAAAGCATGTTTCAAATTATTTATTGAACTGAAACTATTAATTTAAAATTAATCAATATTGATTTAAATCTGAATTAAAATTATAGAATTGAAATTAAATTCAAATATTAAATTGATTTTAAATTGAATTAAAATTGAAATTAATAAATTGATTTTAAATTGAATTCAAATTAAAATTAAGAAATTAATTTTATAGATTAAATTAAAATTATTGAATTGAAATTAAAGTATAATTATTAAATTGAAGGAAAATAATTAATTGAAATTATAAATGGATTTGAATGGAAAATTCGAAAACAAATATATTTATCTATATATAAAAAAAAATTTATCTATATATAGTGCATATATAATAATAATACTAGTTTGATAAGGAAATTTTCGGTATTCAAGGAATTCGGGTCCTATTGGTGGCTTCTCGTCGTGAATTAACATTTTCGCAATTTCGGGAAATTGCGAAACGGCGTTTTACGGACGGCACTTGAATAGGTAAAGGGTCGATGCGACGTTCTAGTAAAAAGGGGTGTGAGAACTAAAATGGCACGGGCGAGAGTGAGAGAGAGAGGGCGAACGAGGAAACCATTAATTAAGCAAAATCATAAACCTCCGGTGGTAATAGTTGCATCGAAATAGCGTGCTCTCGCATATTTTATATTTTTCATGACGACGACGACGACGTCGAAGCGAATCCTCTCGTTAATTGGGGTGTTAAAGTCGATTTTGTATTGAATTGAGAAATTTATTATTTTTTTTCCACTGCGTCGATTAGCTTTTTTTAATCGTATATAATATTATTTTTTGCTTTTAATTTCGCTGAAATCTTAAATGAGTGGTGCAATTTTTTCTTTTAAATTTATTCTCTCTGTAGTAAAAATTAAAGTGAAGGAAAATTGTGGACTATTTAAATTAGTAAAATTTTATAATAGTTAAATTAATTTGAATTTTATTAATTAAAATTAGTCATAATTTTATTACAGTTACTTTAATTGTTTATTCATTTTATTTATTTATTTATTTATTTATATGTATTTTTTAGCTAGTTGTGAATTTTTTTTTTTTTTGCGTATTTTTGTTTCCTTTTTGTTCGTTTATTTTTTTTTTTAAACTAAAATCAAGTAAATTTTGTCAACTTTAATTAGTAGATTTTTGACTAATTTCCTTATTAGGTTTAAATTTTTTAAAAACTTTAACTTATTAATAAATTTATAAAAAAAAATTTGTGTTAAATTAATTAATATTATTATTATTATTGAAACTGGTAACCTCTCTATTTCATATGGGATTAATTTTCATTTTGCAATCTCGTTAAAATGTAATTAATTTGCCAATTATTAGTTATATTTCGAATCTGCGATATAAATAACCAATCAAATAATTAGCTTTGTTTTCAAAATAATATTTTTGTTTTGCAATTTTAATAACTATTCGCCTATTTTTATTATTACTACTATTTTAATGATTTATTATTTTAAACAAAATCCACAACATTATAGTTCGTTAATTACAAATGTGACTTTATTTTCATTATAAAATAACACACAGACATAATTTTCAATTAATTAAATCAACGTATATGTGTAAAGCAATAGTAATGCTTGATTATCCCTATGGAATACATATGAGGGGAATAATAATTTTTGTATTTATGCTCTTTTCCTATCTCCCCCCCCCAATTCCCCCTTTTTAAGCCACCCTCCCCTCCCCCCGCCCCTCGAGCTATATCCAAATTCACGCATTACCCAACGCACATACAAATTCATTTTGTAATGTTACAAACATTCATGGCACAACTCCTACTGTTTTACTCTTTGAAATAATAATCAGTTTGAAATGTGAAAATTACAGGATCCCAGAGGTGAATTCCACGATTCACAAACTGCGCGTCGATTATTAATTTCTAATTAGCGGACCACGACCGGATAAAATTTCCGAACGAACATGGCGCGCTCGATTAAATTTCCATTTTCGATTATTGTTGTTATTATTATTAATATATATATATATACTGATAATAATATTAATAATTAATATTTTGATATATTAATAATTGTTAATTTTCATTTTATTGTAATTTATTTTTATTATTATTATAATTGGAATTTTTATTAAAAATAGTAAATTGTATATTAATATTACTTCAATTAAAAATACTTTTTAGAATAATAGAAAAAGGTCAAAAGCGAAACATTTTTTTCGTTTAGTTTTCGACTAAAACACGGATCCAAGTATAACATATTTAAATTTCATTAAAATCGGTTAAATAGTTTCGGAAATATTGATATTAAACGAAAGTTTTATCCAAAAAATATTTTGGCCTAATGAAAAGGAGGCGGAGCGTAAGAGTCGCGCCGGAGTGGGGGCAATGGGAGAGAATGAGAGAAACGACCATATCTCTCTCGCTCTCATTGCCCCCACTCCCGGCGCTTGCGCTCTGTCTACAACCATTCCTAATTCTTAGTATTTTTTCCGAATTAAACATAATCTAAACCTATTCGAACGAAAGGTAATTATTCTCTCAAAACGAAACAGGTTTGAGGGAAAAAAAAAGAATTTAAAAAAGAAATTAATTTGAATGTATAATTAATATATAAAGATAATTAAAATTAATGGGAAATATTTAAATTTTAATATAACACATTAATTTAAATACAGTTAATTATTATTAATTGTTAATATTAATATAATTTAATTATAATATTCTTTTAATATTAATAATATTAATAATATTCTCTTAATATTAATACAATTAATAATTAATTATTATTAATAATAATATCTTTCAACAATAGACGATAATATTATACGAAAGGTTATATTTTGATATTTTTTTACAACTTATTTTAATAATAATTTTAATAATAAAGAAAATAATTTTGCCTACAATTGTCAGTGTATATATAGTGTCGTAATGTCCCTTTAAACGGCTGCTGGAAAACCGGTCGACCTCGATGTAAAATTGTAAACGTGTATATAACTCGGAGAATTTTGCACAATCGCAATCGACGAACGGATTCGCGAGTAAAGCTATAAAGAAATCCAAGACTCTCGTGTCCACCTCAAATGACAACTGAATCGTTTTATTTATTTTTTTTTCTTCTTCGCTTCCAACGAAACTGTCAAAAATGATAAATGGATAATTTTCTTATAATATCGTATACATATATACACTGAGAAAAAATTTATTTGATTAAAGTAATCGATTACTTAAGTCTATTTTATCAAATAAATATTTACCTAAATAAAAATTATTTTTATTATTTGTATTTAGGAAAATGGTTATTTCATAATAAACTATAATAATCAATTCTTTGAATTGAATAAATTTTTTTCTAATCAATTTTTAATTAATTTTTATTATTTATTAAACCTGGAGAATTTTAATATTTTATAAAATTAATAATAATTAATTATAAAACTTTTTAATTTTCTATTATTTATTTTATTATTATTACAATAATTATTATTTTAATATTTGTTATTCAAATATCGAATTTCATTTATTGGTCTGAAATTAAAATATCTGCCTCGCCTGGGAATCGAACTCGGTACCTTCAGCACTGGTGACTTCGACACTAACCACGAGCCTAAACTCACATTATTATTTTAATAGTATTAACATTAATATAATACTAATATTATTAATTAATATTATTAATATTATATAATAATATTAATATTATTAAAGTTATATAATAATTATTACTATAATATTAATATTATTATTCAGTATAATTAAAATTAATTATAATAACGAATGTAAAATTATTTAAACAAAAATTAATATTATTAATATTAATTAATTCTCCGGGAACAATAATTTACAAAAATGAAAATTTTCGTTTATTGATATTACATTAAAGTAGTAATTTGACTTTTAAATTATTTAATTCATTCGCAGTGAATAAAAAAAGAATGAAAATTTTCGATATTAAAATTGTCGAGTGAATAAATGAATTTTTTATAGGAATGTAAAATTTTTCATTATTGTCGTCCATTCATATATAGCTAAGTTTAATTTTTCATGTGATTTATTTGTTTTTCGTGTATATCGCGTGTATTGTTGTGTATGGTAGAGAAATGATTGATCTACTATAAAATCGAGCGGCAAAATGGAACTGCGGCTTTTCAAGGCTTGGGTGCAATAATTTGTATATCAGAAATCGATATTTGATATATACATTCGGAGTTGTTATAATATGGCGAACAAGAGCGATTTACAGTTAACTAGACAGTATAACTTACTCCAATATCGTGAAAAAAAATATATCGC